AAGGGTGAGAAGACCTTAAGTGCCTTATTTGTTCCCACCACCAGGTGTTGCCATAGTCAGACTTTTTGGGGCAGTTTATGCTTTTATTAAAGGTAGATAGTAGAGAATAACAGGAAAGGATGGGGAGTTGTGGGAAATACAACAAAAGACCTCAACTAGACTTGAACTTGAAAGAATGTTGTGGGTCGTGGTTTGCACTCTGGAGGCCTCAGCCATCAGTCCTCCCCAAAAATGTTCAAATTTTAAGCATAAATCAGTCTAATCATGACTTTGCATGGCTGCAGTTATATTTACGTCCACTAGATCTCTCTGTTACGCAACATGGGTTTATCGACACTTATCAATGATTTCAGGATGTTACATCCTTACCTCTGATAGAAACAACATCCAAATGTAAAGTCTACATCAGAGACAAGAACAAAGTGCTTTTATTTTTTTTTTTTAACCATGGATGTAAATGTATCCGCATGTATTTGCCTGTACCATGTACTTCCTGTATCTTCCCTCAGCTACGGATGTGTAAACATAAACACTCTTCCACAGCAAAGCAGGTCAGGTTGCTTCAAAGCAGTGCCGCTGCTTGTTTCCCCATTCATTATCTACAAACACAGCAAAAACTCTAAGGAAAGTGCTTTGGGTCATACCAAGTTTCAAGTGAGCCCGTGATACTTTAACAAGCGTGTGTGCTTGCATGAGTGTGTGAAATGAGACAGTGAAAGTAAGACTGAAACAGACAGGAAAGTGGAGAGAAAGGCCCTAAAGAAAACCACAACGCAGGATTTGCAAGCATACAGTTGCAATATGCTTGTATGCACTGCAAATTGGACCACAAACACAAGGCTTCAGTATTTCACCTAACTGCTGCACCTTGTATGCACTTTTTTAATAATGTGTTTATATCACAGTGGTTACACTCGGAGGTGGGGGTGAAAAGCTTATCCTCATGACAAAGAATCATTAAATTTATAAACACAATAACAGCAAACATTTTTGTTCAGTCCCTTCCCAAAGTATGGCTGACTTATCTGTGCGCAAATATGTTAAAAACAAACAACCAAAAAAAACTACACATATAAAGATTCAGAAAGGATTAAACCTTGCCGACATTCCTGGGTGAAGCGGGAATTCTCGATGGAAAGGTTAAAAAAACTGTCAGGCATAATTCCATGGTGGAAAAAATGTCAGGAGGACTTCAAGCATTCAAGCATTCAAGCATTCAAGCAGTACATAACATTATACTCACCATCCTCCAGATAGGCATAACTGAGGTTCTCTTGTTTGATCATGATTTTCTCTGGAGCTCGTTCCTCATGGTTTCCTCTAGCAGGGGCGATCTGGGCCAGAGGCTGCCCACCTGGGTCCACCCGACTTCCAACCTTTGCCTGGACTTGACTTTGAATGTATCTCAGAGGTGGCGACTTTCCTAGTGGTAGTGCTGTCTGCATGTAACCATGATTCCTTGACATTGAATAAGGGTCAAACGAATCACCAACCTGAGGACCTTCACCCAATTTGGGCAAAGGGGTTCTGGCACTGACACACTGGCTGGGAGCAGAGGCTGGATGCGGAGCCATTGGGGAACCACCTAGTAAAGCGCTACTGCAGTTGCTGTAACGCTGATTCCCAGTGTGGTACAGCACTGGGTTGTTGACCAGAGTGCCAGGTCTTGACTGGTAATAGACTGGTTGATCATCCAGTTGATCTGGGGTTAACATGTGGGCTCGGGGGTCTACAGTGGTTAGATGGTAAAGTGCTGAGGAAACATTCAAGGCTTGAAGGTTGTTGTCTTGCTCCAGGGGATGGTACAGTGACTTCATTGACATGCCAGAGAGAGACTGATTATTTGAATAGCCATAAGAATTCAGCTGGTAGTCATCCAGTGGTTCTGCTTTAATGGCTGAAAAATAAAAACAATTATTATTAGATTTTTCAGAGAGTGAGAGAACAATGCAGGTCTGTCACTAGACCAGTATAAACAAACAGCCACAGTCATCTTACTTTGCATGTTAGCATGCTAACATTTGCTGATTAGTACTTACTTTCCTATTTACAGAGTAAACATAGGGATGATGTAAATGCTAGTAGTTTTTGCAGGTATTGTGTTATTAGACAAGGTGAAACCAAGTTTACTGGAAACTGTATATTAACAGTATATTAACTGAAATGTCACAGCAACTCAGCTAGTATAAAATGGGAAGAAGATATTTACAAAAGGAACATTAATGCCAGCGTATTTAGAAGCTCTCGAGTTATTTCAGTGATTGTGTGACCTAAAAAAACAAGTCATTGCATCTCCAGTCATCTTTAGGTCTGGTGATAGTAAACACATGTAGGTTTCATAACCAGTGGCTGGAGTATAAATCAGTGTAGATTGAAATGGCTTTAAATTGTCAGCTGCAATGATGTTACGCTTCTTTCTCTACTTCTTAATAATCTTGCCTCATTTCACCTAAAAGCTATAAATATATATCTATATATATATATATAAACCAATAAACTAAAAGCCTTTTTTTGAAATTAGCCAAAGTGTGTCGGCGCTGTAATGCGGGTATCACATGTAGGCGTTAAAAAGGAAAACTATTTTTCCCTTTGAGAAGAAGTAAGATTTGCCCCCAACCCCTACGCAGTCTCTGTTGTGGCTGCAGTGTCAGCGTGCTGCTATAACTGATTAACTTCTGATTTCTGATAAAACTGCAGAACAGGAGTGTTATATCAGAAGTTTGTAACTGCATTAATCTACTTCTGGGGTTAAAATTTTAGAACTGTCAGATTTAATCTAACTAACATTTTGCAATTTCCTGTAACTTTTCTTTTGCTTTTTCTCATCGCTGATGGATGACTTAGCACACATTTGCCTCTTTTAGGAACATCAAAGTCAGTTTATGTTTTTTTTATGGTGTTTTTTTGTCATTATTTGCTAGCATAAGTTATGTAGTGCTATAATACAATATATCTCTCCCGCAGAAAGATATCTGACAGATTACTATTATTAATGTTATTTCAACAGCTGTAACAGAAGAATTTCCCCAAAATGGGATTAATATAGTATTTTACTTCACATGCAGGGTTACGTTATGCTGACAAGGTAATAATAAGATTTCCAGTGCTGACATTCAAATTCAAATTCAAATCCAGGCTGGGAAATGTTGACACTTGAATCACCTTCCTATTTCTCAAACATACGAGGTACGCCTGTTTTCTCCGTAATAACAGAGCTGAGATGACTAAGAGATATACACCTATCATAGGAGTGTAGACGAAGTGCTGAGGCTGACTG